CCGCTCGTGGCTGACGGCGCCAGAGCCGCCGCCGCGGGCGCAGCCCGCGCTAGAGTTTGCCTCTAGGGTTTAGGGTTTAGGGTTTAGGGTTTACGGGGGGAAGAACCCTTTCTTTCTTCGAGGAAAAAGCTGGGACAAGATGCATTAATGGCGCCAATTCTGTCTCTGTCTCTGTCGAAAATAATTTGTTTATGTTTGAAAAAAGAAAGTCCCAAAACACTTTCTTGAATGTGGTTGTCGTCGAGTCCGTCGCACCAAAACCTGCGCAAACCCTAAACCCTAAACCCTAAACCCTAAACCCTAAACCCTAAACCCTGGCCTGAACCCGAACGCTAACCCGGAACCCGGAACCCTGGCCCCAAAACCCTGAACTCTAAACCCGAAATCCGAGACCCTCAACCCGGAGCCGGAAACTCTAAACCCTAAACCCTAAACCCTAAACCCTAACCCTGGACCCCGCCCTAAACCCTGAATCCGGGAGTTGAAGCAGTTGAAGATAAACCCTTAGCTTTGTTGGGCCGCCGCGGCTCGCTGCAATAATTGGGGTTTAGGGTTTAGGGTTTTCTCTGCATCGTCTAGGGTTTAGGGTTTAGGGTTTGCTTCACCCCTCATCTGCCTAACAACTAACAACTTAGGGTTTATGGTTTGAAGCAGCCACAGCTTCTCCTGCACACCCGGAAAGCTTAGGGTTTAGGGTTTAGGGTTCAGGGCCTCAGGCTCTTCTGAGAAGGTAGCTCTGCGCCATCCAGAAAACTGTTAGGGTTTAGGGTTTAGGGTTTAGATTATACCCTGAACTATCGCAGCGGTAGGGTTTAGGGTTTAGGGTTTGCTGACCCCTCTGCTATAGGGCAGAGGCGCTTCAGTGGAATGCACCCCAGTACCTAGTGTTTAGGGTTTGGGGTTTAGGGTTTAGGGTTTAGGGTTTCTGTGCCCTCCAGTCCTGCGACAAATGGGGCACTCCCTGCCCAGTGCCTTCCACTTAACTCTTAGGGTTTAGGGTTTAGGGTTTGGGGTTTAGGGTTTAGATAGATCCGAGGGTTTCCCAAACGACCTTTCCTCTTCCCTTGAAGCTGCCACCCCTCTCACCCCCCACTCCCCAGTGCCGTCCACGTAGTGTTTAGGGTTTAGGGTTTAGGGTTTAGGGTTTACGAACCCCCCCGTTCTCCTGTAAAGGTAGCTCTGCGGGGTCCAAACCACCCTTCCTCCCCCTTTAAAAGTCAAAGTTATGTTGGGGAGTTGCGCGAAAAAGTCCTTCGAAGAAAAGCGCCAGCAGGGCCTTCCGTCTTTTTCTTTTTGGCAAAACAAAGAAGCCACGCAGTAGCGGGCCAGGAGTTTGCGCCAGGCCGCAAACACTGCGGGGGG